ATATTCTTAAGAGTTTCTTTTCCATTTTTTTCATATCAGTCTTACTACATTCAAAGAAACTGGGGGGGGGGCACTTCTTGGAAGGCTACTGGTTGCTTGTCCTGTCCATGTTTGATTTCCTTTAGCCATTCCTAAAAATGCAACCTATGCTTGTAGTCTTGGGCCATAAGCATCATTGGCTGGGTTCACACAATGCAAAGATCCAGGAGCTTAACTTTTTTTTTCTGGCTCAACAGATTTGCTTAGTTTTTCAATGGTCCAGTGGGATGCAGCTTTCCTGGAGCTGGGCCAGACACTCAGTTTGACTTAAGTTTATTTACATGAAATGTTAATAAAAGTTAAACATACAGTTCTTTTCCAGTCATGTATTTGATGGCTTCTCATTCCTGCTTTAGATAACAGGGCATAAATAGCTCTGCTAGATTGATCCAAATGTATCTCGGTCGAAGATGTTATTTCTCACAGTGCCCACTAGATACTGCTGGGATACTCACAAGCAAGAAATGAGGGCATCCCTGCACCTGATAGTTGGACTGTACTTCCCCCAGCTTGGAAGTGTTCGCGATTAATAGTCCTTAATGTGCTTGTCCTCATTGGGTCAAAAATCTATCCAAGATGATTATCACTACATTACACAGTATTGAATTAAACATGTTAACAATAAAGTATTTGGTTTGTAGATGAAAGGAAGGGCCAAGGTGGACTTATCCGAGAATGAGTCCTGTTAAAGGACTGCCAAGGGAGGACTACCTAAGATGGAAGCTGAGTTCTCAATAATAGCAAAATCAAATCTAGCTCAGTTTAGGTTATGTAATAATCTGATCTCTGCTAGTAATCCATAAATGGTAGGAACAAATGTCAATTGGCTTTACACATTGCATTAGGCGATCAAACAGGTTGGTTTGGTAATGGCTTCCTGATCTATATGAACCTACGCAATTGTGAGCTTCATTGCCGTCCTTCAGAATTTTTTTTCCAATTTCCCACTCTAGTAGTATCCTTTCCATCAAGTCAGACCTTTTTCTCTCTTTTTTGTAATTTATTGACTTTTTAAAACATAAATCACTTAATAATTAATGAACAGTGTGTTTTCTGGGTTTACATTTGTAAAACAATCACTAACAATTGATTTCTATAATCCATAATACACTTAATAGTAATAGTAATAGTAGTAAAGTTGGAAGGGACCTTGGAGGTCATCTAGTCCAACCCCCTGCTCGGGCAGGAAACCCTACACCATTTCGGACAAATGGCTGTCCAGTCTCTTCTTAAAAACTTCCAGTGTTGGAGCATTTACTGCTTCTGGAGGCAAGCTGTTCCACTGATTAATTGTTCTCACTGTCAGGAAGTTTCTCCTTAGTTCTAGGTTGCTTCTCTCCTTGATTAGTTTCCACCCGTTGCTTCTTGTCCTGCCTTCAGGTGCTTTGGAAAATAGCTTAATTCCCTCTTCTTTATGGCAGCCCCTGAGATATTGGAATACTGCTATCATGTCCCCCCTTGTCCTTCTCTTCGTTAAACTAGACATACCCAATTCTCGCAACCGTTCCTTATATGTTTTAGCCTCCAGTCCCCTAATCATCTTTGTTGCTCTTCTCTGTACTCTTTCTAGAGTCTCAACATCTTTTTTACATCGTGGTGACCAAAACTGGATGCAGTATTCCAAGTGTGGCCTTACCAAGGCATTGAAGAGTGGTATTAATACTTCACGTGATCTTGATTCTATCCCTCTGTTAATGCAGCCTAGCACTGTGTTGGCCTTTTTGGCAGCTGCAGCACACTGCTGGCTCATATTTAAGTGATTGTCTACTAGGACTCCGAGGTCCCTCTCACAGTTACTACTATTGAGCATAGTGCCACCTATGCTGTACTTGTGCATTTGGTTTTTCTTGCCTAAATGTAGAACCTTGTTTTTTTCACCATTGAATTTCATTTTGTTAGTTAGTGCCCAGTGTTCAAGTCTGTCCAGATCCTTCTGTATCTTAAGCCTGTCTTCTGGAGTGTTGGCTATTCCTGCCAGCTTGGTGTCATCTGCAAATTTGATGAGTTCCCCATCTATCCCTTCATCCAAATCGTTGATGAAGATGTTGAAGAGTACTGGGCCCAGAACAGAGCCCTGGGGCACCCCACTACACACTTCCCTCCATATAGATGCAGTTCCATTGAGGACCACTCGCTGAGTACGGCCGGTCAGCCAGCTATGGATCCATCTGGTGGTGGTTCTGTCTACCCCACATTTTTCTATCTTGTCAAGTAGTAAGTTGTGATCTACTTTATCAAATGCCTTACTGAAGTCCAAGTAAATTATGTCCACAGCATTCCTCTGATCCACTAATTTTGTCACTTGGTCAAAGAATGCAATAAGATTTGTCTGGCATGATCTATTTTTGACAAACCCATGTTGGCTTTTAGTAATGACTTTGTTTGCCTCTAGGTGTTCGTTGATTCGTTGTTTGATTATCTTTTCCAGGATCTTCCCAGGTATTGAGGTCAGGCTGATAGGTCTGTAATTTCCTGGATCCATTTTTTTTCCTTTTTTGAGGATGGGAACTACATCAGCTCTTTTCCAGTCCTCTGGTAGTTCCCCTGTGTTCCAGGATCTTTGAAAAATATAGTTCAGTGGCTCCGATATCACATCTGCCAGTTCCTTGAAAACTCTGGGGTGTAATCCATCTGGTCCTGGCGATTTGAACTCATCTAGGCTGGACAGGTGCTCACTAACGATTTTCTTGCCTATCTTAACTTGTGTTTCTGTTTTGTTTTTTGTGGCACTATTTTTGATAGGTTGGTCTGTTTTTTCCCTTTGTGTAAAGACAGATGCAAAAAATGAGTTAAATAGTTCTGCTTTCTCCCTGTTGCTTGTCACCTTCTTGCCACTTCCACCCACTAATGGACCAATCATTTCCTTCACTTTTTAATTGATTTCCTCTTTTCCTCAAAATATCCTCTTTTGCAAACATTGAGTTAATACAATTCTTATTGTTTTGATAGATAACAATTGAATATATAATTTCCCCCAATATTCCTAAAAATAATAATTACATCAATATAATATTTCTTTTCTATCCAATCATTCTGGTTGCCTTATCATAGATCCTGTTACAGTTCTTATTTAAATTTGTTTCTCCCATCAGTATTCTTAATGGTTAAGATTTTCTCAAAAATTAATTACATTTAAAAATTTAACTCTATTTTTTCCATATGAATCATCTCACATTTACATTTCTTAAGGAATAGATAAAACAGTGAGAAAAAAAGAAAGAAAGGAGAGCAAGAGTAAAGAAACATAAAAAATAACATAGTACTTAAAATATATATCCCTCCTAATCTAATATATATTTGTTTCCAAGATTTCTTATTCTTTTTAATCATAATAAAAATATGTTTAATCTTTAAATATTCCATTTAATAATCTAGTCATTTAGTCCTTTAACTCTTATTCAAAACATTTTTATCCATTATAATTTTCGTAAATTTTATCACATTTAAATATCTAAAACATTTACTTTCTCTAAGCCATTTCAACTTTTTTATATTACTCATATAAAGAAATAGAATAAAAAAGGGGGGAAGCATACTATATTATTTAGGGGATTCATCCCTCTTAGAGTGACATATATATTCCACATCTTTTCTATTTCTTTAACCATATTCAAACAAATGTTTCTTTTTAAAGTATTCTCTCTGATAGGTCCTATCATCTATTTTCTTGATTTCCACTTTGGTCTTTTTCCTTGGTATCTTTCTTAATCAATATATTTTGCTGAGTCAAAAGGTTTTTCCATATGTTCATAAATGTTAGTGTAGATATATTGTAAAAAGTAAATCAGATGAAGTGTCTTTGTATGGGGCTTCTACCTTTCCATGTTTGTTGAAAATCTTTTTCTTTCTCTTGGCTTCTCTTATCATTTCCTTTCTCTCCGATGTTCCTGATATCTCTACAGTCCATTTTATCCAATCTGTTTTCTTGTCCTCAGATTTATTTTGCAATCTTAAGGGATAAGTTCTTTTCCAATTCTTGTGATTTTTCCCCCACCAGGATTAAATCATGTTTCCTTGTTTTATTAAGTCCCATCTTTAATTCTCGATTCTCAATTTTGTATCCATTTATCTGTTTTATCTGTTCCTTCTCTGTTGTTGTTTTCTGGGAATTATTTTTGTTGTAGAGTTAGCTTGGAAATAGATTGATTTATATCTTCAAAGTTATTTTGGATGTCTTTGTGGTTTAAAATCATTGTTGTTTGAATTAGTTGCAGTATACTATATATCTCCACCTATGGAGTATTTATGTTTTCTTGATATGTTATTTCTACATGTCTCTGATCCATGATTGCCAAGAATTTCAGTTTTTCTCTTCTTTCCTTTTCTCTGAAAATAGCTTTAGAGTCCCAATTAAATAGATATTTGTAATCCAAATAGTTTAAAAAAAATTTTTTCCTCAAATTTATAATTTTCTTTGTCTACAGCCCAGATTATTGTCTCTTTTTTTGTCACAGCTTTGAAGGTCAGAAACATAGATTAGCTTTTCCCAGGCTTTGCCAAGTCTTATATTAAAGTCATAGCTATCATAGTCTTCATCCACCACTAGGTGTCAGCATTTATTTGTTTTTCAATTTTCAAAATGAACTATTATCTTTAGAATGAGAGTCTTAACCATTCAACAATTTTAGATTTATTCAGATTTGAGTTTTAAATTTCAGGTTTATATTTGTTTCACTTCCATATATTTTGATCCTCCATAAAAAGATTAATTCGCCACTTCCGTTAGTATAAGGATGGGGAGGAAATCCCCCTCCTTTCCTTTCAGAGGTATTTTGCTTCTTGGGGATCTTTTCCAGGAAATTAAATATAGAATAGAAAAGAGAAGATCAAATTCCTCACTCAGTTTCAAGCACGTAAAACCGGAAGTCCAGGTCAGACCTTCTTCAGCTTTTAAGCCCAGTTGGTCAAATGCTGCCATTTAACAGGCCGTTCCTTTGCAAAACCAAAGGATCAGAAACAAGTGACGATTTATACGATTTTATTGCTGTGGATACCTGAGAATTTACATGAAAACATTATTCTCAAAAGATTCTGTTTAGTTATTGGGAAGTGGAAGTTAATCTGGGATCCTTTTTAGGCAACATGGGACCCGGGTATATGGATATGTTTGTGGGGTGGCTGCATGACTCCATATGAGCGTATTGTAAATGCCACAGAAGTACCAATAGAAGAGAATATTCTAGCACTGATGATGTTACCTAGCTGGATAATGAAACATCTTCAAGAAGAGAAGCTCAGAGAGCATCAAGGACCCCACTGTCCCAGACGTGGACAGAAATGGAAAGATATTCAGAGGTTAAAATATTTGGAATGGTCCATTTTAGAGTCAGAAACTTTTGCACCTCACCCTAAAACAGGCCTTCATTTTACTGAGATTGTTTGATACGGAAATTAAATGGGACATGATCCCTGCAGCACTATTTTGAGCATTTCTTACTCCAAAGGCAGTCCTATTTGAGTCTAAAAAAAGCTTAGTGCCTGGGAATATATTCCAATGTAGTTGGATATGGTTAGGGATATAGAAGAGATGTACAAATATGTTACATTTTCTCCTCCTAACTTTTTCAAAACTTTTCATGTGGGGCTGGTCGCATCTGTATTTCCTGCAATAATGCTCTGGATCCACTCAGTATAATCGAAGACCTTGATGTAGACACCAGGCTTCAGACTTTGGCCACAAGGATGCGCCCCCCAAGATACAATGCCCTGGATTTCTCCATTACAGATGAGGGGTCCCCCAGAGTCACCCTGTTGAGAAAAATCAAACATGAAACATTACTACCATATCTATGAATGGGAAGTGGAGCAAACAATTCCCTCCCATCGTCCATTCACATATAGCCCCCAATGTTTCACTTCGATGTTCCCCAATCCAGGATCCTTGTAGAAGAATTTAACTCCTTGAGTTTTCCCCTCCAGAATTACCAGTATTGGGAAGTCTGGAAATCTGGACACCTAGAAGGCACTTGAGTTAGAAAAAAGCTGTAACTTTGTATGTTTCTACAAGATGCCTTCAAGGCTAGATCTCTGTCATAGCTTTGAAATTTGGCATCATTTCTTTAGGAGTCTGTGTTAAAATGAATCATCTTACCCCACATGTATCTTTGTCTCCTTACTGGGTACCTGCACACAATGTTCTGCTTGTCGCTGGCAATTGTGGATAAGCTGCTCAACACACCGCATGATCGAGTATGTTAATGTTAGCACAATGAGGGACATCGGGATAAGTCTCTGAAAAAAAATAAAAAATAGGTAAAATTCTACCTTTCACAATTTACCACCGAGATGCATAGAACTGTAATTTCCATTGTCTCCAACCAGTGGAGCTGATCTCATTGCCTGGAATAGGAAGTATTGTCTTTCAAAGCTGTTCAAAGGGACTCCTGGGAAAAACAGATTTACTTAAATGTTTGCACAGGATGTTTTTTGTCATGATATTAATAGGTCTTAAATCAGCTGATGGGCATTTGAGGGCTTCTCAGATTTCTCCAGCATTCTATGTAAAGATTGCCTTGTTGGAAAATTGGGCTTTTACTAGTTCAAAAGTCACAGAACTGATCTCGCATCCCCTGGAGATGACCTAGAACGGGGGTCTCCAAACTTGGCAACTTTAAGAGTTGTGAACTTCCACTCCCAAAATTCCTCAGCCAGCATACTGAAACTTCTATATCTGAAGATGAAGAAGATCCATAAGTTTGCATTGTGTACAAGAACAAAAAGCCAGGAATCTTGTCTAAAAGATCCCTTGGTGAGGACAGATGAGGTAGAAATAAGTCTTAGGAAACAAAGAAAAAATTTCATCTGAATCAGACAAACCTGGGCTTGAGAATATGGAATAAACCCCAATCCCAGCTAATCAACAAATCAAGAACCTTTGAGGATAAAAAGGGGTCCTAAAGCTCACCCACTCCTTGAGTCGTCTTTGGATCCACAACTTAGGAGTTTCTGTCCCTCTAGTTTTTGCCTGGCAGCTAATTGAGAAGGAGGTGTCTAAAGATGGATGGGTGCATGTGTGGGTATCAGAAAGAACAAATTTACATTGCAAGCAGTAAAGTTTTGCTGTTACTTTAAATTCACTGGGTCTCCATGTATTCCAAAAAACCTCTGGTGCCTCAGTGGTGAGTTGAAAATTATTTGTGTGAGTCCTTAATTATTTCCCAGCTCTTGACCAAGGCTGTGTGACTTGTCTGCTCTAACTACACCTATCTGGTAGAAACCTAGGTACAAAACAAGGTAGGCTTACAAGATCTACCTACCTTGGCAGGCTTGAATGTGTGGATGACCATAAGGCAAGCTGAGAGTGCATGTAACACTTCTATGGCCTTACTAGCAATAGCACTTAGACCAGTGGTTCTCAACCTTTTTAATGCTGTTACCCCCAACCAGTCGTAAGTCGAGGACTAAACCGGTCGTAAGTCGAGGACTTTCCCTGCCCGGGAGTGCCGCACATGCATGGTGCCGTCCCCTGCACCAGCTGAGCACTCTCTGGGTGATTTACAATATCAGCATATTGCCCCCAACAATCTTTTATCAATCTCAAAAGGATAGAAGGCTGAGTCAACTTTGAGCTCCGTGAGTATCGAATTCCAGGCTGGGAGTAGAGATAGCCTGCTCGGAGTCCTAGTGGACAATCACTTAAATATGAGCCAGCAGTGTGCTGCAGCTGCCAAAAAAGCCAACACAGTGCTGGGCTGCATTAACAGAGGGATATAATCAAGATCACATGAAGTATTAATACCACTTTACAAGGCCTTGGAAAGGCCACACTTGGAATATTGCATCCAGTTTTGGTCACCACGATGTAAAAAAGATGTTGAGACTCTAGAAAGAGTACAGAGAAGAGCAGCAAAGATGATTAGGAGACTGGAGGCTAAAACATATAAGGAACGGTTGCTGGAATTGGGTATGTCTAGTTTAACGAAGAGAAGGACGAGAGGGGACATGATAGCAGTGTTCCAATATCTCAGAGGCTGCCACAAAGAAGAGGGAGTCAAGCTATTTTCCAAAGTGCCTGAAGGCAGGACAAGAAGCAATGGATGGAAACTAATCAAGAAGAAAAGCAACCTAGAACTAAGGAGAAACTTTCTGACAATTAGAACAATTAACCTTGGAACAACCTGCCTCCAGAAGCGGTGAATGCTCCAACACTGGAAGTTTTTAAGAAGAGACTAGACAGCCGTTTGTCCGAAATGGTATAGGGTTTCCTGCCTTAGCAGGGGGTTGGACTAGATGATGATGATGATGATTATACTGCATTCTAACCACTGCACCACCAGGAAAAAGGAGTCCTCTGCAACCATCCACAGAGACTTTATATCCATCCAAGGATAGACCATGTTTTTAAGTTCATATTTGCTATTTTGAGAGCGAATAGTAAATATACTGTGAAAACATCCTCCGCAGGAGACTTCTCCATTTCCAAAATGGCCATGGCCATTCACAAAACACCCCATTATTAAAGGTAATGAAGCCAGGCAAAACTGCCATGCTAATGGGACTTTTCTCATTCCCAACAGCACTGCTATAAATAAACCTGATCCTATAGGAGTTTTTTCAGCTATACAGCATGTCAGTTCCTTACTTATTTCTTTTATTCCAAGGACCTTGTGGGTGTGGAACTGATGAAGAAATGGAATCTTAGGGAATCCCATTGTCCATCCACATTCCAATATTCATTGGTGACATAGTAGGACAATAGACCTAGTTGGGTCTGAGAATATAGACAGAGATACCTACCTTTAGTAGGTGAGATTGTGCCCCATCCCATAATACGGCAAACTGAGCCCACACTGGGAGGGCTGGAAGGTAAGCTGAGAGGCGCGATGTGTTCACTATTGCTGACAGGTCTGTCCAGCCTGATCAACATGATGTCCTTGTCCTTTTCATCATCTTTTTTCCTATTGGGACAAATGAACTTCTCCTTTGGGTCTCTTGTCTGCTCATCCTCATTTAGTACCTTTTTGCTATGCACACCAAACAGCATCTGGAAATTTTTACTGCAAGAAAAGCAACAGCAACAACGTAAAGTAAACTCTATATTACTTGGGATGGTCCTTGACCTCATTTTGGTCCTCAAGCAGGATCGTCATCGCCAAACAAGAAAGGGCCATAACCTACCTTCTCCAATGGTGTTGGAGGGGGAAAACCTACCAGAAACCTGGAAAAGTTACAGTCAATGTCCTAGAGATATGGGTACTCTCAAGAAATTTATTCAACATGATTGAATAAGCTATTTCCATTGTTTATGCAAAATCTTGAAGCGTGAATTCACCTATGTACTTTTTAGCACTCAGAAAGCTCAGCATATAGTATGAATCCATCTCTTTCTTGACATGGATGTGTATTGTGTGAATGTTGCACTTATAAATTATAGATGACTGTGTTAAAGATAGAACCCATGTGGTTACGGTACTAATGTTATGACTTTGTATTGTGCACATCCTCTCTCAACCCAGCCTATCTCAAAGGAAGGTGGGATAGATAAAGACAAACACAAAATCTGGATGGTGCCCACTCTGTTCTTGTTTTGAACAGGTATTAAGGTGTAGTGCCTCACCCAGGCCTTTGATAAGGGAGAGGGAAGCCTCTCACTTCATTATCTTTTTATCTTTTTTGTTTTACTGATTTTTTTAAAAAAATATTTTATTATGGAAAATCCCCAGAGTCAGGCAGCATATAGTTAATATTTTCAAGTTAGTTGTGCAGTCAGTCAGATATTTAGACTGGATTTGGCATTTTTATCCACCTATCAAGTCCTTCCCAAGGACCTGGGGTAGGAAAATGTTGTGGTTCCATGGTATGAAAGGGATTGTCACAGGATGTTCCAAGTAAGGCTGCCTTTTGCAATTGACTGTGGTGATTTTGTCAGTGCTGATGGTATTCAGGTAATGTTCCAGATTTTGTATTTTTGTTATTATTATATCCCCCCAAAAAGAAAAGATATGAATACAATGGTGAAGAAGATGGAAATTCAACCATAAATATAAACAGCATAGCTCAAGATATGATTGTGAGGAGCAATAGCAGTAACAGCACAACACGCATTCAAAATGCACAGAGAAGTCACTAAAAACTAGCAGAAACATTATTAAAAAATCAGGATATCTAAACACGATCTCCCTCGACCCTTCCACATTCTGTAATGCCCTCACCTGTCGCAGTGTGCAGCAGTGAGCACCCATTCCTGGTTGATCAAAGTCCCAGCGCAGAGAAAACTGCTAGAGTTAAAGAAGACTACAAGGGAACGATGTTCATTTATGTTACATTCATCACCTCCAACGACCAGTTCAGAAGACTTTTGTGCTGCAAAGAAACCAAAAAAGTTCAGTATTTGGCTATGGAATAGAACAGAATTGCTTTTATTGGTAGTGTTTCTATCAGTACACTAATTTTGGAGGGAAAGAGATTACTGTGGGACACCAGCATCAAACCAGTAGAATAAAATGGATTATTTGCAAATGATATATATGCCTATGCCCTTGTAGGTAAACTACCTGTGAATCTTTTTTTTTTTTTTTAAAAACACAATTTTATTAGTTTTCCATTTTACACCAACAAGGCTTAAGAACCAACTTGGAGATAGGGTTATCAATTAAAAAACAATAACATTATAAATATACAGCTCACACAATATTCCTTGAAATTCCCCCCTCTCTCTATTTAGGATATTATTGTAAGCAAATTAATGCAGTTCTAAAAAGAAATTCATACATACAAATTCCGTTAATGAATAAAAAAATTTCAACAACTCATTATCTATCCCATAAAATCTTATTTTATGTTTTTGTCAACGCTGCTAATATTGAATATTCTTGCATTGACAAAATATGCAGAACTGTCTGGTACTTTTAGAGTTAATTCAGATGAGAAAGAGGGAGGAGGAAAAAGCCTGCAAAAGGGAAGGGAAGAGAACGTTTGTCCTCCAAACTAATTGGAGAATGTAAATCATGACAGCAAAATAAGGGAGGGGAAATGCTAGCAAAAATAACTGCTCAGTGGGTGGAGTTTTCAGATCTTAGCACCCCTTTTATCATGCCGTGCCAACATTTTGTCACATGAATAAAAAGACTTTTTAGGATAAAATGCCTGGAAGTTCTTTCAAGTGTTTCATTAGTCTGAACCGTGACATCATGCTAAGATCTCAAATCCTTTTCAATCAACCTGGGGTCCTGAACTCCATCCGCTGTCTCCAGGCTTGAGAGAAGCTGGTAAAGATTCAGGGAAGAAAAATCTATCAGGAAAAAAGTGAGTTTGCTTCAAGGTCCAGCAGATGCTGTTAACACAGAGGAGGAAACAACAGACAGCACGCTGTGGGAAGATGAAGTCTGGCAGATCTCCCAGCTGGGAGCAAAGACTTCAAAAGCAGAATGGTACAGAGCTAACAAATGGCCTGCTACTGAAGCTTTGGGTGAGTCACTGGAAAGATTTCAAACCCCAGATGTGAAAAGCAGAAATCAATTCCTGCAGAGAGAAGCCTACAGCCCCTCCCTTGCAGATCAGATCCTGGTGTCCCCCCCCCCCCGGCCAGGAACTGCAGCCATTAAGACAGAGGGAATCCCAGACTGAGGCCTCTGCAGCAATGGGCAGATTGGCACCCCCCTAAGGTAGATGGTCAGCAGCATCTGACCATGCCACAGCTAATAGAGGCCTTGCAACAGCTTGGGGTGCTGCAGAAGCTAAGAGATCAGCACCTGGTGGGAGACCGACCACAGCGGGGAGATTGGCCACAACCCCTGAATATTCAACCCCTGGGCATAAATCTGCAGCCAGGGTGGGACCAGCAGCAACAGCCACAGTGGGGGCCCCAACAGCCTATGATTGCACCACTTTTCAGAGAAACCTTCGATGGGGACGCAGAGAAGCTGGGTTTTTTCCTCAGCCAAGTCTGCTCTCATTTGAATTGCTGGGCCTATCTCTACCTGGGGGCCATGGTCGATGTGATTGCATCCAGCCTAGAGGGAGAAGCATCCGAATGGCTGAACAATTTATATAATGAGCAAGCCTCTGAATTGGAAGGCCCCCAACTCTTCCTCCTAGGGCTGAGGGAAAGATTTGAGGACCCATCTATTGGTCTTAAAGCAAGAGAATAGATCCACAAAATAAAAGAAGCTGGCAGGCCTGCCCTGGAGTACGTGCAGGAATTTTGCAAGATAGCAGGTCAAATAGAGGGGTGGCCTGAACAATCTCTAATCCATCACTTCATTGAGGGTTTAGATGCTCACCTCTCTCAGGCATGCATCCATCGAGCCCTACCTGATCAGCTGCAAGAATGGTACCAGGCAGCAGTGAAGCTAGACATTCAGCTCACCCACTATAAGAAGCCTCCCCCACACGAATCCGAGCAGCAACCAGAGCTACCCGAACAGCAATCATCCCCACAAAAGCCTTCAACTACTGCAATGGCTGAGAGACCCAGGCCACCTACAGACCCATCAATTAAGTATTTCCGGTACAGACAGGAGGGACATCGAGCAGCAAACTGTCCAGTCCCCTACCCCCGATTACAGAGCAGACCAGAACCAGCGGCGAGAAGGAAACCTGACCAGCAGCTGACGAGAGAGAAATCCAACTGGGTCATACAGGAACCTGTTGCCCAGATTACACCGAGACTCCAGGTGGACCCACCTCTGCTCTACTCTTCTTTGACAGCGATGATGAAGGAAAGAATGACCCAATGGTGAGTCGACAAATCCCGCCTTTTTCACTGGCCGCCAAACTTATAATCCCTAAGTCTGGGGCACAAATGGACTTAAACATGTTAATTGATTCTGGATGTAACCGCTGCATTATTAGTCTGCCATTTGCCATGAAAATGGGCATACAGGCAAAACAGCTTTCCAAACCTGTGAGGTTTGAGCAAGCCGATGGCTCCCTGATGGGAGGCACTCTTGTTACACAATTAACCGAGCCCTTATGCCTAGAAATAGGCGCGCACTGTGAGTTTATTCCTAGTGGCTCCAAAAATGACTGAGACTGTGATCCTAGGGCTAGCCTGGTTGGACAAATGGAAGCCGTTTATCTGGTGGGGGAAAGGAATGAGAAGACTACCTATAGGGCCTAAACCTAAAAAGAATACACTTCTAACTTAAATTTTCAGTCAAAACACATTCAAAGAATGATGGTAAAGAATGAACAAACAAATCAGATAACAGAATGTGAACTAGAAAAAAATGACTTAATTGGCAAAGTCACAAATGAAGGGAATTATAACTTAATACAAATAAGAAAAAACTCACAAGAGTTGGATGCAACAATAAATATGGAAAAGATACCCTATGCATTAGAACGTAAAAATAAACCTGAGAAGGAAGAAGACTTAACAAAATGGACACTGTTAGAGAGACAAAAAGCATATATCTTGCGTATTATGTATCCTTTACGCCTAACAACAACTACAAAAATACAAGAACTGTTGACAAGTCAAAAATATCAATCTGGAAAACATTTTGGCAAAGGAAGAAGATTAGAGATGGGCTCAAGAGACTTGACTCGCCCTACAAGATGGAATATTATACGAGCAAACACTTGTTTGAATATGGCTAAATAAATAAATAACTTAGGCTATAAAGGGGCTTTAGAATAAGTGGGATAAGAGATATAAATAATATAGTATTTTTTGATAAGATACAAAATTAAAAATATTGGGATGATGAAAGTGAAAGAAAAGTTTGAACTTTAAAGACAAATTAAGTTTGAAAAGATTTAGGATTAAGGAATGATTGAAATACTGAGGGAAATTAGACTTAATAAGAACTTTGAAAAAAGGATATATAGTGATTCAATCAATTTTATGAATAGAAGTGAAATATAAATTGATTAGAAAAGATGTTATAGGTAGATGTTATGATACATAAGTAGCATAGTATTTCTATACCATATGAAATATGAAAATACTGGGATGATATATTTAAGTGGAAAATTTGAATATTTCTCAATATCTATTGAGAAAATTATGATTGATAAGAATGGTTTGAATATTATGGAGAAATTGAGCTTAAACAAGATTTATGAAAATAAGATATAAGGTGAATCAATAAGATGACTTTTATGAAAATAACAGAAGCTGATAAAAAAACAAATGATATATATGGACACTATTATTGTTGGTATAAATATAGAAGACTGCTCAGTAACTTAATGGTATCACTGCCAGTCAGATTACGCTAAACAGTTGAAGTAAGAAGAATTGTTCAGCTGAGCTTCTAAAAAGGATGGACATTTAGAAGCATTTGGTCCAGAGTCTGATCTTGCTGTACTAAATTGCTAGACAAAATATATGGCCTCATGATGGGGAGAATAGGGGGCAGAAGGAGTGAAACTGGGTAAGAGATTGATGAAAATGGAATTCAATCTATGGGAAGTTGATAATATTAGTATTTAGTTCACTAAAAACAGTTTGAACCAACAGTGATGGCAGTAAAATCCTTACATACCAGTTTTGATATTTGTTTCAGAAGCAATGACCCAGATATTGCATGCTGTATAATGCAGCAAATCTAACAGAATGGGAGCTAGGTTAAATGCAACAGATTTATTTACCAGTTTGGACAAAAATCAATGGCCATCTCATACAACATTTTTTAAAGACCCCCTTAACACTGAAAACCACTCCCCAACTATTTTTCTCAATGCATCTTATATTAATTAATAAGTTATCTTCCTCTATTGAAGTCAGTTCCCAAATAAATAGAAACATGAAAGGAAGCTGACATTTCATTTATATTTAGGATTATAAATTTGTAACTGGCTAGTTTTGCTGATATAAATAAATGTATCAATTCATACTATCATTACAAATACAGCAATGGTCTTCCCCATTTGCACCAACCGGGCCTTCTTCGCCCACTCTCTACTTGTGACCTGCTTGTACATCTACAGTTAATAATAACACACAAGTTGACTCCTGTAACTGGAGGTTTAAACCAAAAAAGACACCTAAAGGTCCGACCACCCTCCGTCCATTGTCCAGGCTCTTACCGTAAGAAAGCTGTAGTATCAGAAGGTGTGCTAGCACTCTGATCAGCACCATAGTTTCAACTCTGCGCAGCAAACTGTTTGCCTGGAATTTAGAAATGGGGAACAATTTAGGCAAGAATGCACAGTTCAAAATATTTTTTTTTACTGAAATTTTTTTATTTTTTAAACATTACAATCATTTATAAAAGTACAATAAAATTTTAAAGTAGAAAAAAAAAACCCTTACCCTCCCTCCCACCCCAACCCCCCTCCCTTCACTTCCCAGAGCAGAATACAGGGTTAATAAATAAAAAAAAAATTATAATAATTAAGAAAAAAGAAAAAAAAGAAAAGAAAAAAGAGAAAAAAAAATCATAATTAACCTTTAACTCCATAACCTATAAAACAATTCTCTATAATATTTAAAATTCATTCATAAAATAAATGAAACTTTTTAATTCCATACTTTTTCTGAATATAATCTATCCACCTTCCCCATACAGTAATATATCTTTCTTGTGTATGATCCTTTAAATAAGCAGAAATTTTTGCCATTTCTGCAAAACTAGATACTTTAAATATCCATTCTTCTAAAGTAGGCAAGGAATCTTTCTTCCAATATAAACCTACTAGTAACCTTGCTGCAGTTAATAAATTCAACATCAAAGTAGTTTCTTTTTCATTTAAGTCAACAAAAATACCAAGTAAAAATAGTTGAGGAGTAAACTTTATCTTTTTTCTAAAAATCTTTTGAATGTTCCACCAAATCATAATCCAAAAAGCCTTTACTTTTTTACAATTCCACCAAATATGAAAGTATGTCGCATCATTATTGCCACATCTCCAACATTTGGGCTGTATATTGGAATACATACAAGATAATTTTTTAGGATCTAAGTGCCATCTATAGAACATTTTATAAAAATTTTCTCTCAAATTTTGAGCTTGTGTGAATTTAACATTTCTTATCCAAATTGTCTCCCATAAATCCAATGAGATCGGCTCCTGTATATTCTGAGCCCATTTAATCATACAGTCTTTAACCAATTCTGTTTCTGAATCTAACTCTAATAAAACATTGTATATTCTTTTTATATGAGCCGGACTTTGGTTTTTAATCTGAATAACCAATTGTCTATCTTCTAGTGTTATTCCCTCTTTCTTGTCTACAGTCCATCTATCCATTATTTGTAAATATTGAAACCATGACTGTAGAATATTTTGCTGCCTTAGTACATCTAGGGATTTCAAATGCCAATTCGAACCAGAGCGAATTAACAATTCTTTATACGAGATTTTGTCAAAATTTGTCCCCTTAGAAGTTCCCTCAATTGCATGTCTGGGAATCCCCCAGATAGGTATTTTATAATTTAATCTATAATAATACTTCTTCCAAACACGAAGTAAGGCATTCCTCAAAATATGTGATTTAAAAGTCCGATCAACTTTCTTATTAAAAATTAAATATGCATGCCAACCATATATTAAATCCCAACCTTCCAAAAAAAGAATATCCATATTTGTTAAATTAAGCCAATCACTTAACCAAGTTAGGGCGGCTGCATCATAATATAATTTCAAATTAGGTGCCTTAAGTCCCCCTCTTTCTCGAGCATCCTGTAATATCTTAAATTTAACCCTTGGTTTCTTCCCGGCCCATATAAAATTATTGATACCCTTTTGCCATTCCTCCAAATTTGCCTCTTTTTTAAGAATAGGTATCATCTGAAACAAAAAAAGAAACTTTGGTAGAACATTCATTTTTACAGCTGAAATTCTCCCCAACAATGACAATTGCAATTTTTTCCAATCTCTTAAATCCTTTTGGACTTTTGCCCATAGTGGTTCATAATTGTTCTTATACAATTTTCCATTTGAAGCAGTTAGATATACTCCCAAATATTTAACCTTTTTTTCCTTCTGAAAACCTGTGGCTTTAATCAAAATTTCCCTATCTTTAACTGACATATTCTTAGATAATATCTTAGTCTTATAATTATTAACTTTAAAACCAGAAACATTCCCATACTGTGTTATAAGTTCTAATAAACCATTAATCGCCTGATTCGGCTGTTCCAAAATTAAAACCAAATCATCCGCAAATGCCCGCAATTTATACTCATTCTTCCTTATCTTTACACCCTTAATTAACTTCGATTCCCGAATCTGAATCAATAAAATTTCCAATGTTAAAACAAATAACAATGGGGATAATGGACATCCTTGTCTTGTCCCTTTTTGAATATTAAAATTCTCAGTCAATCCCCCATTTACAACAATTTGTGCAGATTGCTGCTGATATATAGCTTTAAGTGCATGTAAGAAATTATCCCCAAAATTCATTTTCTCTACCAAAGAGAATAAAAATTGCCAGTCCAATTGATCAAAAGCTTTTTCAGCATCCAAAAAGATAAAAGCCACAGGAATCTGATTATTCTTATCCAAGTACTCAATTAAATTAATAATTTGTCTAACATTATGTTTCATGTATCTCCCTGTTATAAATCCTGCTTGATCACTATGAATCAAGTCTTTCATAACCTGCATTAGTCTATTTGCCAAAATTTTTGTAAAAATCTTATAATCAACATTCAATAATGAAATTGGCCTATAATTCTTAGGCTCTGTAAGATCCTGATCTTCCTTCGTAATCAGTGATATAAAAGCTCTTTTCCAAGAAGGAGGAACTTGCATACCCAACAAAATACTATTAAAGAGTTCCTTTAATGGCTCTATCATTTCTTCAGATAAGATCTTATAATACCTAGAAGTCAGTCCATCTGTTCCAGGAGACTTTCCAACCTTTAACTGCTTAATAGCTAAACCAATTTCCTCCACAGTAATTAAACTATTCATCCCATTTTGTTGTTCCTCTGAAAGTCTAGGAAAATGTACTGATTGTAAATATTTATCTATATCCAAACCCCTTATATTATCACTTGAATATAATTTTGTGTAAAAGTCCAAAAAGCTTTTTCTAATCAAATCTTGCTGAAAGACCTCAGTACCTTTATATTTTACTTTCTCTATGATTCTAGCTTTCTGTTTCTTTCGTAACTGATAAGCCAACCACCTCCCAGGCTTATTTGCATTGCAAAAAGTATTATGTCTCATATACAACAGATTGGTAGCCACCTGATCTGCCATCAACATATTAAATTGTTCCTTAAGCATCTTTATGGATACCTTTAAATTATTATCAGTAGGGTTAAGAACCAACCCTTGTTCTTTTGATTTAATCTCTTCTTCTATTTCTCTACGTCTTTGTAACCCTTTTTCCCTAAAAACTTTATTCAATTGAATCAGAATTCTCCTCATATATGCTTTACTAGCATCCCACACCATAGACATGGATGTCCCCTTATTCATATTTATAGCAAAAAAGTCCTTTAAATGTTCTTTACACTTTTGTACAAACTCCTCCCGATTAAATAAGTTCTCATTCAGTCTCCAAGATCTTCTATTCCCATCTTCCGAATATAACTCCATCCACACAGGACTATGATCTGACAATGTTCTGGGAAAAATTTTCACCTTCCTCACTCTAGGGAGGAAGTCACTAGTAATAAAAACAAATCAATCCTTGAAAATGACTGGTGTCTATCAAAAAGAAAAAGTAAAATCTCTATCACTTGTGTTCCTTTCTCGCCAAATATCAATAAGCTCCAATTCTTCCTTCAAGTCAAAGAAAGTCATAGGTAGTTTAGTTTGAATAAAAGTTTTAGATGAACTTCTTTTGTCTATAGTTGGGTCTAAAACCCCATTCCAGTCACCCATCAAAATTACCGATTTATAATCCAACTGAGATATCTTGCCATGCAGCAATTTATAAAATTGTTTCTATTGTTGATTGGGAGCATATAGTCCAACAATAAGAACTTTTCGGCCTTGTAATAATAATTCCACAAAAAGATATCTTCCTTCAGAGTCAGCCTCAATTAGTTTAGCTGAAAAAGTTTTCTTCACATAAATTACCACTCCCCCTTTTTTCCCAGGGGCTGGAGCAATAAAATGTGAGCCCAGACGGGAATTCATCAAGAATTTAGAATCCTTTAAGGTTATATGAGTCTCCTGCAAACATATCAAATCATTATTATGTTGTTTCAAATAATGGAAAATCTTTCTTCGTTTCTGTGGCACATTTAAGCCATTAACATTCCAGGTCAGAAACCTGACCATCTCCACCGGCCTGGAGCCTCTGGAGCATGGCCTACAGATCTGCTGTCGAAGATCTTTTTGGTCTTGCCCCTCCCACAGGCTCTGTAGCAACCAAACTTTCACCACTCTTCTGCTGCTGCTCTTTTTCTTTACGTTTATGGGCAGCTCGTGTCATCCTTTGCTCTTTTATGTCAGAATTCTGTGCAGCTTGTTCCATAACCATCATTGATGAGGCTCCTGCCATAAGAGGCTCTTCCGTTATCCTTATTTGTGGAGGTGGTGACAATCTTACTTTTAAAATAGACTGGTAAAAATCTCTTGCTTTGGAAACAGTAGTTAATCTGTGACGTATCCCTTCATAATTTACTATTATTCCTCTTGGAATCTCCCATCTGAACTGAATTTGATGATGTTTTAGCTCATCAGACAAGAAAGTAAAATCTTTTCTGGCTCTTAAAATTTTTGGAGGTATCTCTTTTAAAATTATCACATCTTGATCAGCAATTTGAAACTTTTGTTTGTAAAAAGCCTGTATAATTTCATTACGAATAGATCTTCTGGAAAAATAAATAACCACATCTCTTGGTAAATTTCTCTGTCTAGCAACCCGTGAATTAACTCTAAAAATTTTTTCTATCTCATTCTCAATTATTTCAGGCCGCCAGCCAATATTAGGAGCAATATCTTTCACAATAAGCATCTTTAAGTCCTCCTGAGGGTTCTCTCTCAGGCCTCTGATACGCAATGCATGTTCCATCTCTCTGTATTGTGAAATGATTTGTTCATCCTGTGTAATTTCTATCTTGTTCTCTACCTCCTGCATTCTAAATTCCATCCTTGCTGCATTTTCAGTAATCTTTTCCATCTGGTCATCAATCCTCTCTATGTGCAGGGCTAAGCCCTGAAAGGCCAGAAGGATATGGTCTCTTACTTGTTTGTTCTTTTTCTCCAATAATTCTTCTGTATTAGCCCTCTCTGCAATTATGAGATCTTTTACCTCTTCCTTAATATCCAAGGCATGCTGTTTTAAAGCATCCTGTAAATCATTAAGAAAAATTGCAGGAGGAGGAGGAGAAGGTGGAGGTGATTTTGGTTTCTGAGATGCAGGCTGAGGCATTGGAGAAGAAATAGGAACCTTAGGGGCGGGAGGCAGACGTTTTGAAACCATTTTCTTAAGTTCCAAGAAGAAAGATTCTTATTGAAAAAAAAAGAGAGGAAAAAAAAAGCACAGTTCTTTTAAATATTCTTAGAAAAAAAAAACAAAGAAGAAAAGAGAGGAAAGAATAAAAGCCAAATTCTTACTTCTGTGTTTAAAGAGTTAATCTGGATCCAGATTTTACTTTGTAATGCAAATCAGGCAAGAAAGACAATCGCCATTTTACTTTTCACTTTCCCTTTCTTCTAAAGGGAAAGTGAACAAAAGAAGAGGAAGAGGAAACTTGCTGAGGTTAAAGGCACCATCAAACTTGAGCACAGTCTCTCCTGGTCTGCTCCGTCTGCTTTCAAATACTCACAAGCAGCTGGAAAAAAAAAGCAGATGTGGAAGCGGCAACTTGCTTCATCCCAAAAGCTTCGGAATGAAGTCTCCCTGGAACGCGGAGTTGCTCAGGCTCCGAGGGAACTCTACCCTCCAATCCCCAAAATAACAGGGATCCAGGGGAGCTCTTACCTCTACCTGAGAGCTCTCCTCTTCCCTTTTTCCCAGGGAGGAGATTCAAGCCGCGGGACAGCTGATTGTCAAAGTCCCGCGGCTTTCACACCGACCAGGAATGGGCGGCTTTGTAAAACGCCGCCATTCGTCGTCGCTGGAACCACTGGAAGCCACAGTTCAAAATATTTGATTAATATTTTGATTACTTTGTTCTCTTCCATTCCCAGGGAGAAGGACAGATGTGGAAAAAACACCAGTTTCTCACCTGTAAGATCCCAGTCCCAAACTTAAACTTGAGATACCATATCATTGCTTTATACACTTTGTTAGCCAATGAAAATCAGACAACAGAGCCATTACATCATAAGAAAGACATCATTCCTGTACACTCCCTTATTGCCTCCTTCAGTATATCCCATCCATGTACACGTTTCCCAAGCTTGCATGAAATTTCTCTGGTGCAAAAGCTCATTACAACAAGCAAGAAACCAACAGTTAGACTAAACAATTTCCCTTTGTTTCAGAACCCTTCACATCCTTATGTAACTTGGCTCTATATCATGCAGCCTGAACAGTGGTGGGATTCAAATATGTGAACAACCGGTTCTCTGTGTGGATGCCGCTTCTGGAAGTCCATTCTGGGCCCGGGCAACAAAAAATTAGCTACCGGTTCTGCCAAAGTGGTTTGAACCAGCTGAATCCCACCGCTGAGCCTGAAGCACGAAAGAACACTGTTACAAGAATGGATATGTATCTCAATAAAAGCAGACCCTTCCAGAAAGCAAAAAACCTAATATGTGATTAATGCAGTCAATGTGAGATGTTGGTGCAGAATTCACTTCAGCTTTAGGACAGAAGGAAAACAGATTTTTTTTCTTTTAACTGGAAATATTTTTAAACCTAAAAAAGCCAGGGCAGTTAGACCATATAAAACAACCACACACTCAGTTGACCCATTTGTTTAGCTGGTGTGGAGAAACAACTGTTTCTGTATTATGAATAGTGGGGGCAACTGATACTAACTTAAGTCCAACAATTTTCAGGGTTGTGAGACTGGTTTGAAAACACTCCACCTTTTCCATTCTAGGATATAGTTTTGGAAAAGGAGATCAGGAAAGCTGACTATGCACAGCACTGGATAGACGCTCTCCACAGCTGTAATTTGTTTGAATTTGACTTGTTTAAAATTGGCCTTAACCTTTAAATTTCATCCTCTCCAGATGCCTGGACTTCAACAACTGGGAGGAGAATATCCAGCTATGGTACCGGACTGGCTCAGGAATTCTGGAGTTGAAGTCCAAAAGTCATAAGTGGAGCCATAGTTCCCCACTTCTGCTCTAGAAGCAGCTGCGCTTTTGGGGTTGGGATTCAACAGGAAAATGATGGGCGGAGCTAGAGCATCCTTCCACCCATTCTTCCGGTGTTGCTGTAGCCTCCCCGTCGCTGATTCCGGCATCTTTGTGGCCTGTTCTGCAGGTGAAAGTCACTTTCAGGAAGCCGCTGGCCTTGTTGCTGTAAGAAGCCAGGAGCTGGCTTGCAGCCGGCTGGGGAAAGAAGTCCGGCTCTTCCAGGCCTTGCTTCTATCCTCAGAGGGGGTTTCCTGGCTGTGCTGACCCTTGGGAAGAGTGCAAGAAGGCCCAGTGCTCAGGGTGCCTCCACCCCGATGTGGAGTCGTGCCTTTCCGGATCTTTGGGTCACAGACTGCATCCTCCAGGCCATTGGCACATCAGTTTTGGGGATGGGTAGAGATGGGAAAGCCTCTGGGAAAAAAATCCATTGTGTTTGGCAAATGAAATAAATGCATTCTGCTGTAAGGTCCCAGTCCCTTATTTAAACTTGAGATACCCTATTAATCTAATTAGATAACCCAAGCGGAGACTTCTTGATCAAATTAAGCAGCTGGGTGGCCAACAGTGTGGAATGCTGGCAGAGTCACGTCCAGAAGTGTCACACATTAGAAAGTTGGTAGCATTGCTTTATAAACTTTGTTAGCCAATGAAAATCAGACAACAGAGCCAAAAAGCAAGAAACCAACAGTTAGACAAAACAATTTCCCTTTGTTCCAGAACCTTTCACATCCTTATGTAACTTGGCTCTATATCATGCAGGCTGAACAGTGGAGGGATTCAAAAATGTGAACAACTGGTTCTCTGTGTGGATGCCGCTTCTGGATGTTCATTCTGGGCCTGGGCAACAAAAAATTAGCTACCGGTTCTGCCAAAGTGGTGTGAATTGGCTGAATCCCACCACTGAGTCTGAAGCACGAAAGAACACTGGTAACAAGACTGGATATGTATCTCAATAAAAACAGACCCTTGTGGAAAACAAAAAACCCTAATAGTGGAGAAGCGCCTGTCCCGGTCTTTGGGTCACAGTCTGAGTCCTCCTGGCCATGGGCACGTCAGTTTTGGGATGGGAAAGCCTGGGGGGAAAAACCTGGAAAAATGAGGAAAAAACAATTCTCCACTCCCCTTTTTCCCAAAACCATTTGGAAAAATATGGGAGGGGAACCCTCTCCCCCCTCAATTTTTTCCAGTTTTTTTCCATGTCTTCCCATCTCCAGGGGTGAGGAAGGTTAGAGTCCAGTGGATTGTGTTGGGGATTGTGTGACAGCATTGGCCCAGATAGCTTGTCTTGTCTTTTCATCATAGATTAGCATAGATTCCCCCCCCCCACTTGCTTTTGCCTTGATTTTGCTAAACCAGCTTGAATTTCTAATAGCAGAATTCTCACAAAAGCTGGGGTAGCCTTGAAATGGAATGGAGCAGTAACTTATGGTTTGGAGAATGGTGGGAAGCCACTGTTTTATCATGTCAGTCACAAGTGAAGCCCTCATACAATGGTTTTCTTTGTGAGAACACAACATCTGTTTTGTATCTGAGCATAGGCTGCTGTTGAACCCAGCTAATGTGTATAAATTTTTGGTACTTAATACTACAGTAAGGGGCACACACTATATAACATGTGGCGTGTCATTTTTTTATTGTTTTCCTGTCTGCAGGCAAGATACCTTTGTACCTTTCATTCCCCCCGCAGGTAATCATTTTAGGAAAGGTGCTCTTCTGTTATGTAAAGTTTTAAATTTCAGGTTTTATATTTGTTTCACTTCCATATATTTTGATCCTCCATAAAAAGATTAATTCGCACTTCCCTTAGTATAAGGGTGGGGAGGAAATCCCCCTCCTTCCCTTTCGGAGATATTTTGCTTCTTGGGAATCTTTTCCAGGAAATTAAAAATAGAATAGAAAAGAGAAGATCAAATTCCTCACTCAGTTTCAAGCACGCAAAACCGGAAGTCCAGGTCAAAGCTTTTTCAGCTTTTAAGCCCAGTTGGTCAAATGCTGCCATTTAACAGGCCATTCCTTTGCAAAACCAAAGGTTCGGAAAACAAGCAACGATTTATACAATTTTATTGCTGTAGATACCTGAAAATTTACATGAAAACATGATTCTCAAAAGATTCTATTTAGTGATTGGAAAGTGGAGGGTAATCTGGGATCCTTTTTAGGCAACAGTGGGACCTGGGTATATGGATATGTTTGTGGGGTGGCTGCATGACTCCATATGAGCATATTGTAAATGCCACAGAAGTACCAATAGAAGAGAATATTCTAGCATGATGATGTTACCTAGCTGGGTAATAAAACGTCTGCAAGAAGAGAAACTCAGAGAGCATCAAGGACCCTACTGTCCCAGAGGTGGACAGAAATGGAAAGATATTCAGAGCTTAAAATATTTGGAATGGTCCATTTTAGAGTCAGAAAATTTTGCACCTCACCCTAAAACAGGCCTCCGTTTTACTGAGATTGTTTTATACTGAAATTAAACGGGACATGATCCCTGCAGCACTATTTTGAGCATTTCTTACTCCAAAGGCAGTCCTATTTGAGTCTAAAAAATGCTTACTGCCTGGGAATATATTCCAATGTAGTTGGATATGGTTAGGGATATAGAAGTGATGTAGTAATATGTTACATTTTCTCCCCCTTTTCAAAAGTTTACAAAGGGGCAAGTTGCATCTGTATTTCCTGCAATAATGCTCTGGATCCAGTCAGTATAATCGAAGACCTTGGTGTAGACGCCAGGCTCACGACGTCGGCCACAAGGATGCGCCCCCCAAGATACAATGCCCTGGATTTCTCCATTACAGATGAGGGGTCCCCCAGAGTCACCCTGTTGAGAAAAATCAAACATGAAACATTACTACCATATCTATGAATGGGAAGTGAAGCAAACAATTCCCTCCCATCATCCATTCACATATAGCCCCAATATTTCACTTCGATGTCCCCCAATCCAGGATCCTTGTAGAAGAATTTAATTCCTTGAGTTTCCCCCTCCAGAATCACCAGTATTGGGATGTCTGGAAATCTAGACATCTAGAAGGCACTTGAGTTAGAAAAAGCCATAACTTTGTATGTTTCTACAAGATGCCTTCAAGGCTAGATCTCTGTCATAGCTTTGAAATTTGGCATTATTTCTTTAGGAGTCTGTCTTAAAACGGATCATCTTACCACACATGCATCTTTGCCTCCTTCCAGAATACCTGCACACAATGTTCTGGTTGTCGCTGGCCACCATGGGTAAGCTGTTTGACACACTGCATAATCAAGTATGTTAATGTTAGCACAACGAGGGACATTGGGATAAGTTTCTGAAAAAAATAAAAAGTAGGCAAAATTATACCTTTCACAATTTACCACCTAGATGCATAGAGCTATAATTTCCATTGTCTCTAAACAGTGGAGCTAATCTCATTGCCTAGAATAGGAAGTATTGTCTTTCAAAGCTGTTCAAAGGGACTCCTGGGAAAAACAGATTTACTTAAATGTTTGCACAGGATATTTTTTGTCAAGATATTAATAGGTCTTAAATCAGCTGATGGGCATTTGAAGGCTTCTCAAATTTCGCACTCTACGCAAAGATTGCCTTGTTGGAAAATTAGGCTTTTACTAGTTCAAAAGTCATGGAACTGATCTCACATCCCCTGGAGATGACCTAGAATGGGGGTCTCCAAACTTGGCAACTTTAAGACTTGTGAACTTCCACTCCCAAAATTCCTCAGCCAGCATACTGAAACTTCCATATCTGAAGATGAAGGAGACGCATAGGTCTGTATTGTGTACAAGAACAAAAAGCCAGGAATCTTCTCCAAAGGATCCCTTGGGGAGCACAGATGAGATGGAAATAAGTCTAAGGAAACAAAGGAAGAATGTCATCTGAATCAGACAAAGTTGAACCTGACAATTGGATATGTATTTCAATAAAAGCAGACCCTTCCTGAAAGCAAAAATCCCTAATAGGGGAGACGCGCCCGTCCAAGTCTTTGGGTTGCAGGCTGCATCGTCCTGGCCATTGGCACGTCAGTTTTGGGGATGGGTAGAGATGGGAAAGCCTGGGGGGAAAAACCCCTGGAAAAATGAGGAAAAAACAAATCTCCTCCCCCCTTTTTTTATAAAATGGGAAAACCCTCTTTCCCTCCCCCAATTTTTCCAGTTTTTTTCCAGGCCTTTCCATCTCCAGGGGTGAGGAAGGTTGGAGTCCCGTGGATGCACTGGCAGCAAGAGGAGGAGGCCGGGGTCCTTCAGGAGGTTTGGACCCCAAACAGTCACAGTTCTGGTTCTATTGATGGGGAACCTGCTTTGCCTTCCCCGGGCATCCGTGGAAGAAGGGGCTCATGCAGACAGTCCTATTTTCCTTGGTCGCCTCCCCTTTTTCTTCTTGGCACCCCCACCCCCAACTACTGCAAAAAAGGGGGCTCAGGGAGGGAGGGAGGGAGGGGTGGAGGAGGTCGGTTTGGGTGAAATCTGCCCTCTCAAAAAGTTCTCTCCATTCAGACCAAGCCCTTTGTGGCCTCACCCAAAGACAGTCTTCTCTGTAGTACAGGTAGTCCTCGACTTAATGACCACAGCTGAGCCCAAAATTTATGTTGCACAAGTGAGAAATTTGTTAAGTGAATTTTGCCCCATGTTATGACTTTTCTTGCCACTGCAGTTGTCAAATTAGTAAAATTAGTTAAGTTGGTAACACCATTGTTAAGCAAATCTGGCTCCCCCACTGACTTGGCTTATCAGAAGGTCATGAAAGATGATCATGTGACTCCAGGACACTAGCCGCAATAAATAGGGACCAGTTGTCAAGCATTGGCAGGTAAATTGCATGACTGGAGAAGCTGCAATGGTCACAAGTGTGAAAAATTGAAATGTTCAAAAATGTTCAAAAACTTTGAATATTCACTAAATGAACTGTTGTAGGGCTTCCTATAGCAAAGGAAAACTGTTTGAAAAGAATGTGCACTCAAGCAGACTTAATACAAAAGGTAACCTTGCAGCCAAATGACACTATTCTAAAAGTTTATTAAACCATCATCATCGTTAGTTGGGGGATTGTGTGACAGTATTGGCCCAGATAGCTTGTCTTGTCTTTTCATCATAGATTAGCACTTACATGAAGATTAGGAATATTGGCAAGAAGGTTGGGGTACATCAGATTCGGGCATCAAGGTCCCTTCCTCCCCCCTTGCTTTTGCCTTGATTTTGCTAAAACAGCTTGAATTTCTAATAGCAGAATTCACACAAAAGCTGGGGTAGCCTTGAAATGGAATGGCGGGGGGAGGGGTAAATATGATTTGGTGAATGGTGGGTAGCCACTGTTTTATCATGTCAGTCACAAGTGAAGCCCTCACACAATGTTATTCTTGCCTTGTAAAAAATGACCATATTTTTAGCCATGCTTTTATTTGCATAAACAAATGTGGGTATTTTTGGATGGGTGCAAGGAAGAAATTGACTTTCTTACACATTGACTGAAAATATCATCTATTCATATTCTTAAGAGTTTCTTTTCCATTTTTTTCATATCAGTCTTAGTACATTCAAAGAAACTGGGGGGGCACTTCTTGCATTGCTACTGTTCCTTGGCCTGTCTATGTTTGATTTCCTTTAGCCATTCCTAAAAATGCAACCTATGCTTGTAGTCTTGGGCCATAAGCATCATTGGCTGGGTTTGCATAACCCAAGATCCAGGAGCTTAACCTTTTTTTTTTTCTGGCTCAACAGATTTGCTTGGTTTTTGAATGGTCCACTGAGATGCAGCTTTCCTGGAGCTGGGCCAGACACTCAGTTTGACTTAAGTTTATTTACATGAAATGTTAATAAAAGTTAAACATACAGTTCTTTTCCAGTCATGTATTTGATGGCTTCTCACCCCTGCTTTAGATAACAGGGCACAAATAACTCTGCTAGATTGACCCAAATGTATCTCAGTCCAAGATTTTGTTTCTCGCAGTGCCCACTAGATACTGCTGGGGTACTCACAAGCAAGAAATGAGGGCATCCCCTGCACCTGATAGTTGGACCGTACTTCCCCCAGCTTGGAAGCATTCACGATTAATAGCCCTTACTGCGCCTGTCCTCATTGGGTCAAAAATCTATCCAAGATGATTATCGCTACATTACATACTATTGAATTAAACAGGTTAAGAACAATGTATTTGGTTTGTAGATGAAAGGAAGGGCCAAGGTAGACTTATCCAAGAATGAGTCCTGTTAAAGTCCTGCCGAGGGAGGACTACCTAAGATGGAAGCCAAGTTCTCAATAATAGCAAAATCAAACCTAGCTCAGTTCAGGTTATGTAATGATCTGATCTCTGCTAGCAATCCATCAATGGCAGGAAGAAACGTCAGTTGCCTTTACACATTGCATTAAACAGGTTGGTTTGGTGATGGCTTCCTGACCTATATGAACCTAAGCAATTGTGAGTTTCATTGCTGTCCTTCAGAATTTTTTTTTCCAATTTCCCACTCTAGTAGTATCTTTTCCATCAAGTCAGACCTTTTTCTTTTCTTTTCTCTTTTGTAATTTATTGATTTTTTAAAACATAAATCACTTAATAATTGGTGAACAGTGTGTTGTCTGGGTTTACATTTGTAAAACAATCACTAACAATTGATTTCTATAATCCATAATCCACTTAATAGTTTTAATTGATTTCCTCTTTTCCCCAAAATATCCTCTTTTGCAAACATTGAGTTAATACAATTCTTAATGATTTGATAGATAACAATTAAATATATAATTTCCCCCCAATAATAATCATATCAATATAATATTTCTTTTCTATCCAATCATTCTGGTTGCTTTATCATAGATCCTGTTATAGTTCTTATTTAAATTTGTTTCTCCCACAAGATTCTAAGTATTCTTACTGGTTAAGATTTTCTCAAAAATTAATTACATTTAAAAATTTGACTCTATTTTTTCCATATGAACCATCTCACACTTTTACATTTCTTAAGGAATAGATAAAACAGTGAGAAAAAAAGAAAGAAAGGAGAGCAAGAGTAAAGAAACATAAAAAATAACATACTACTTAAAATATATATCCCTCCTAATCTAATATATATTTGTTTCCAAGATTTTTTATTCTTTTTAACCATAATAAAAATATGTTTAATCTTTAAATATTCCATTTAATAATCTAGTCATTTAGTCCTTTAACTCTTATTCAAAACATTTTTATCCATTATAATTTTTGTAAATTTTATCACATTTAAATATCTAAAACATTTACTTTCTCTAAACCAGTGGTTCTAAACCTTTCTAATGCCGCGACCCCATAATACAGTTTCCCATGTTGTGGTGACCCCCAACTACTTATACATCACCAGGTGCCAGGGACGTGGCCAAAGAAAAGGGGGAAAAATGGCAGACAGCCTTGTTTGGTGACCCCCGTGAAATGGTCGTTCGACCCAAAATGGGGTCCCAACCCACAGGTTGAGAACCACTGCTCTAAACCATTTCAACTTTTTTATATTACTCATATAAAGAAATAGAATAAAAAAGGGGAAAAAGCATACTATATTATTTAGGGGATTCATCCCTCTTAGAGTGACGTATATATTCCAAATCTTTTCTATTTCTTTAACCATATTCAACCAAGTGTTTCTTTTTTAAGTATTCTCTCTGGTAGGTCCCATCATCTATTTTTTTTATTCCCACTTTGGTCTTTTTCCTTTGCCCAGATCTTTCTTAATCAAAGTATTTTTCTGAGTCAAACGGTTTTTCCATATGTTCATAAATGTTAGTGTAGATATAAAAAGTAAATCAGATGAAGTGTCTTTGTATGGGGCTTCTGTTTGTTGAAAATCTTTTTCTTTTCCTTTCTCTCCGCTTCTCTTATCATTTCCTTTCTCTCCGATGTTCCTGACATTTCTACAGTCCATTTTATCCAATCTGTTTTCTTGTCCTCAGATTTATTTTGCAGTCTTAAGGGATAAGTTGTTTTTTCCAATTCTTGTGATTTTTTTCCCCACCAGGATTAAATCATGTTTCCTTGTTTTGTTAAGTTCCATGTTTATGACTCGATTCTCAATTTTGTATCCATTTTTATCTGTTTTATCTGCTCCTTCTCTGTTGTTGTTTTCTGTTAACTTAGAGTTAACTTGGGAATATATTCCAATGTAATTGGATATGGTTAGGGATATAGAAGAGATGTACTAATATGTTACATTTTCTCCTAACTTTTTCAAAAGTTTTCACTGGGGGCAAGTCACAGTTGTATTTCCTGCAACAATGCTTTGGATCCAGTCAAAGACCTTGGTGTAGAAGCCAGGCTTAAGACTTTGGCCACAAGGATGCCCCCCCTCCCAGATACAATGCCCTGGATTTGTCCCTTACAGATAAGGGGTCCCCCAGAGTCACCCAGTTGAGAAAAATAAAACATGAAACATTACTACCGTATCTATGAATGGGAAGTGGAGCAAACAATTCCCTCCTATCATCCATTCACATATAGCCCCCAATGTTTCACTTCCATGTTCCCCAATCCAGGATCCTTGTAGAAGAATTTAACTCCTTGTGTTCCCCCACCAGAATCACCAGTATTGGGAAGACTGGAAATCTAGACATCTAGAAGGCACTTGAGTTAGAAAAAGCCATAACTTTGTATGTTTCTACAAGATGCCTTCAAGGCTAGATCTCTGTCATAGCTTTGAAATTTGGCATTATTTCTTTAGGAGTCTGTCTTAAAACGGATCATCTTACCACACATGCATCTTTGCCTCCTTGCAGGATACCTGCACACAATGTTCTGCTTGTTGCTGGCAACCCTGCGTAAGCTTTTCGACACAGTGCATTACGGACTATGTTAATGTTAGCACAATGAGGGAAAGCAGGCAAAGTCACTGAAAAAAATAAAAAATAGGCAAAATTCTACCTTTCACAATTTTACCACCTAGATGCATAGAGCTATAATTTCCACTGTCTCCAAACAGTGGAGCTGATCTCATTGCCTGGAATAGGAAGTATTGTCTTTCAAAGTTGTTCAAAGGGACTCCTGGGAAAAACAGTTTTACTTAAATGTTTTTTGTCAAGTTATGAGCCGAGGTGGCGCAGCAGTTAGAGTGCAGTACTGCAGGCCACTTTAGCTGACTGTGTTCAGCAGGTCAGCAGTTCAAATCTCACCGGCTCAAGGTTGACTCAGCCTTCCATCCTTCCGGGGTAGGTAAAATGAGGACCCAGATTGTTGGGGGCAATGTAAAATATATATATATACATTGCTTACTGGTGTACACCGCTTAGAGAGTGCTTGCACTTAAAGCGGTATATAAGTCTCATAAATAAAATAAAATAAAATAAAATAAATATTAATAGGTCTTAAATCAGCTGATGGACATTTGAAGACTTCTCAAATTTCCCCAGTACTCTATGCAAAGATTGCCTTGTTGGAAAAGTGGGGCTTTTGCTAGTTCAAAAGTCACAGAACTGATCTTGCATCCCCTGGAGATGACCTAGAATGGGGGTCTCCAAACTTGGCCACTTCAAGACTTGTGAACTTCCACTCCCAAAATTCCTCAGCCAGCATACTGAAACTTCTATATCTAAAGATGAAGGAGACCCATACGTTTGTATTGTGTACAAGAACAAAAAGCCAGGAATCTTGTCCAAAAGATCCCTTGGGTAGGACAGATGAGGTGAAAATAAGTCTTAGGAAACAAAGGAAAAATTTCATCTGAATCAGACAAACCTGGGCTTGAGAATATGGAATAAACCCCAATCCCAGTTAATCAACAAATCAAGAACTTTTGAGGATAAAAAGGGGTCCTAAAGCTCACCCACTCTTTGAGTCATTTTGGATCCACAACTTAAGAGTTTCCGTCCCTCTGCCTGGCAGCCTAATTGTGAAGGATGTATCTAAACATGGATGGGTGCATGTGTGGGTATGAGAAAGAGCAAATTTATATCGCAAGCAGTAAAGTTTTTCTGTTACTTAAAATTCACTGGGTCTCCATGTATTAAAAAAAACCTGTGGTACTTCAGTGGTTAATTGAAAATTATTTTTGTGAGTCCTTAATTATTTCCCAGCTCTTGACCAAGGCTGTGTGACTTGTCTGCTCTAGTCACACCTATTTGGTAGAAACCTAGGTAGAAAACAAGATGGGCTTACAAGATCTACCTATCTTGGCAGGATTGAATGTGTGGATGACCATAAGCCACAGCTGAGAGCGCACATAACACTTCTACGGCCTTACTAGCAATAGCAATACCACTTAGACCTATACACTGCACTGTCTGGTTGATTTACAGCATCCACATATTGCCCTCAACAATCTGAGTCCTCCTTTTATCAACCTCAAAAGGATGGAAGGCTGAGTCAACCTTGAGCCCCGTCAGGATCGAATTCCAGGCTGGAAGCAGAGATAGTATGCAATACTGCATTCTAACCACTGCACCACCAGGACTTAAAAGGAAGACGTCCTCTGCAACCATCCACAGAGATTTTATATCCATCCAAGGATAGGCCATGTTTTTGAGTTCATATTTTGAGAGCAAGGGGTAAATATACTCTGAAAACATCATCCGCGGGAGACGTCTCCATTTCCAAAACGGCCAAGGCTATTCACAAAACACCCCATTATTAAAGGTAATGAAGCCAGGCAAGACTGCCTTGCTAATGGGACTTTTCTTATTCCCAACAGCTCTGCTATAAATAAACCTGATCCTTTAGGTTTTTTTTTTTTTTTTTAGCTATACAGCATGCCAGTTCCTTACTTATTTCTTTTATTCCAAGGACCTTGTGGGTGTGGAACTGATGAAGAAATGGAATCTTAGGGAATCCCATTGTCCATCCACATTCCAATATTCATGGTTGACATAGTGAGACCCTAGACCAAGTTGGTGTTACATCAAAAGCTGGGTCTGAGAGTATAGACAGAGATCCCTACCATTAGGAGATGTGATTGCGCCCCATCCCATAATACGGCAAACTGAGCCCACACTGGGAGGGTTTGAAGGCAAGCTTAGAGGCACGATGTGTTCACTATTGCTGACAGGTCTGTCCAGCCTGATCAACATGATGTCCTTGTCCTTTTTGTCATCTTTTTTCCTATTGGGACAAATGAACTTCTCCTTTGCGACTCTTTTCTGCACATCCTTATTTGGTACCTCTAGGCTATGCATACCAAGGAATATGAGCATATTTCCCCTACAAGAAAAACAACAAGAAATTAACAACAACAAATTAAAGTAAACTCTATATTACTTGGGATGGTCCTTAACCCTCAACCAGGATTGTTAGCACCTGAATCCTGGAAGAGTTACAGTCAATGTCCTAGAGATCTGGGTACGCTCAAGAAATTTGTTCAAGGTGATTGAATAAACTATTTCCATAGTTTATGTAAAATCTTGAAGCATGAATTCACCTGTGTGCTGTTTAGTACTCAGAAATTATTCAGGTAATGTTCCAGATTTTGTTATTCTTGTTATTATTATATCCCAGAAAAAAGGAAAGATATGAATACTGTGGTGAAGAAGATGGAAATTCAACCATAAATATAAACAGCATTGCTCATGATATGATTGTGAGGAGCAATAGCAGTAACAGCAGAACACTCATTCAAAATGCACAGAGAAGTCACTAAAAACTAGCAGAAACATTATAAAAAAATCTGGATATCTAAACACGATCTTCCTCAATCCTTCCACATTCTGTAATGCCCTTACTTGTCGCAGTGTGCAGCGGTCAGCACCCATTCCTTGTTGATCAAAGTCCCACCACAGGAACCATCGCTAGTGATATAAACGAGTGCAAGGGAACAATGTTCATTTATGTTACATTCATCACCTCCAATGACCAGTTCAGAAGACTTTTGTCCTGCAAAGAAACCAAAAACGTTCAGTGTTTGGCTGTGGAGTAGAACAGAATCACTTTTATTGGTAGTGTTTGTATCAGTACACTAATTTTGGAGGGTAAGAGATGACTGTGGGACACACAGCATCAAACCAGTTGAATAAAATGGATTATTTGCAAATCATATATATGCCTACGTCCCTGTAGATAAACTACCTGTGAATCTTAAGTGATGTGTGTGTGTGTGTATGTGTGTGTGTGTGTGTGTACACACTAATTTTGAAGGGTAAGAGATGACTGTGGGACACACAGCATCAAACCAGTAGAATAAAATGGATTATTTGCATATATGCCTATGCCCATGTAGGTAAACTACCTGAGAATCTTAAGTGATCAATATATATATGTGTGTATATATATATTGGCAGTAAAATCCCTAAATACCGGTTTTGATATTTGTTTCAGAAGCATGCTCTATAATGAAGCAAATCTAACAGAATGGGAGCTAGGTTAAATCCAACAGATTTATTTTACCAGTTTGGACAAAAATTTAATGGCCATCTCATACAACATTTTTTAAAGACCACCTTCACATTGAAAACCTCTCCCCAACTTTTTTCTCAATACATCTTATATTAATTAATAAGTTATCTTTCTCTATTGAAATCAGTTGCCAAATAAATAGAAACACGAAAGGAAGCTGACTATATTTGGGATTATATATTTTTAACTGGCTAGTTTTGCTGATATGAATAAATGTATCAATTCATACTATATTAAAAATACAGCAATGGTCTTCCCCATTTCCACAAACCGGGCCTTCTTCACCCACTCTCTACTTGTGACCTGCTTGTACACCTACAATTAAAAATTACATGCAAGTTTACTCCTGTAATTGGAGGTTTAAACCGAAAAAGACACCTAAAGCTCCGTTCACCCTTGACTCCATTGTCCAGGCTCTTACCGTAAGAAAGCTATAGTATCAGAAGGGTTGCTAGCACTCTGATCAGCACCACAGCTTCAACTCTGCATGGCAAGCTGTTTGCCTGGAATTTAGAAATGGGAACAATTTTGGCAAGAATGCACAGTTCAAAATATTTGATTAATCACTTTATTCTCTTCCACTCTGAGGCAGAAGGACAGATGTGGAAAAAAATGCCAGTTTCTCAACTGTAAGATCCCAGTCCCTTACTTAAACTTGAGATACCGTATCAATCTAATCAGATAACCAAAGTGGAGACTTCTTGATCAAGCAGCACTTTATTTGATCAAATTAAGCAGTTGGGTGGCCAACAATCTGGAACACTGACAGAGTTATGGCCAGAAGTGTCCCGTCTTAGAAAGTTGGTAGCATTGCTTTATTAACTTTGTTAGCCAATTAAAATCCGACAACAGAGCCATTACATCGTAAGAATGACATCAATTATTCCTGTACACTCCCTTATTCCCTCCTTCCATGAATATCCCATCCATGTACACGTTTCCCAAGCTTGCATGAAATTTCTCTGGTGCAAAAGCTGATTTAAAAAAGCAAGAAACCAACAGTTAGACTAAACAATTTCCCTTTGTTCCAGAACCCTTCACATCCTTATGTAACTTGGCTCTATATCATGCAGCCTGAACAGTGGTGGGATTCAAATATGTGAACAACCAGTTCTGTGTGGATGCTGCTTCCACAAAACCATTCTGGGCCTGGGCAACAAAAACTTAGCTACCGGTTCTGCTGAAGTGGTGCGAACTGGCTGAATCCCAACACTGAGCCTGAAGCATGAAAGAACACTGATAACAAGACTGGATATGTGCCTCTATAAAAACAGACCTTTCCGGAAAGCAAAAAACCCTAATATGTCATTAATGCAGTCTATGTGAGATGTTGGTGGAGAATTCACTTCAGCTTTGGGACAGAAGGAAAACAGATTTTTTTTTCTTTTAATTGGAAATATTTTTAAACCTAAAAAAGACAGGGCAATTAGACCATATAAAGGCAACCACACACGTAGTTGGCCCATTTGTTTGGCTGGTGTGGAAAAATGACTGTTTCTGTATTATGAATAGTGGGGGAATTGATACTAACTTAAGTCCAACAATTTTCAGAGTTGCAAAATTGGTTTGAAAAGACTCCACCTTTTCCATTCTAGGATCTAGTTTTGGAAAATGAGGTCAGGAAAGCTGGCTATGCACAGCACTGGATGGAGGCTCTCCGCAGCTGACATTTGTTTGAATTTGACGTTTAAAATTGGCCTTCACCTTTAAATTTCATAGTCTCCAGATGCCTGGACTTCAACAACTGGGGGGAGAGTATCCAGCTATAGTACCAGACTGGCTCAGGAATTCTGGGAGTTGAAATCCACAAGTCATAAGGGGAGCCATAGTTCCCCACCTCCACTCTAGAAGCATCAGCGGTTTTGGGGGTTGGACCCAACAGGAAAACGTGGGTGGAGCTGGAATATTCTTGCGCCCATTCTTCTGGTTCTGCTCTAGCCTTCCCGTTGCTGATACTGGCATCTTGGTGGCCTGTTCTGCAGGTGAAAGTCACTTTGAGGAAGCCTCTGCTTCATCGGCCTCGTTGTGGTGAAAAGCCGGGAGCTTGCTTGCAGCTGGCCAGAGAGAGGAGCCTGGCTGCTCCAAGCATTGCTTCCATCCTCAGAGGGGGTTCCCCAGCTGTGCCAACCATTGGGAAGAGCACAGGAAGGCCCAGTGCTCAGGGCACCTCCACCCTGAACGGGAGACTCGCCCGTTCCGGTCTCGGTTGCAGGCTGTGTCCTCCTATCCATTGGCACGTCAGTTTTGTGATGGGTAGAGATGGGAAAGCCTGGGGGGGAAAAAACCGTTGTGTTTGGCACTATACAAATGAAATACACATGTGGTGCTGCAAAGTCCCAGTCCCTTACTTAAACCTGAGATACCATATTAATCTAATTAGATAACCCAAGAGGAGACTTCTTGATTAAGCAGAACTTTATTTGATCAAATTAAGCAGCTGGGTGGCCAACAATGTGGAACTGTGGCAGAGTCAGATCCTGAAGTGCCACATCTTAGAAAGTTGGTAGCATTGCTTTATAAACTTTGTTAACTAATGAAAATCAGACAACAGAGCCAAAGAGCAACAAAGCAAAAGTTAGACTAAACAATTTCCCTTTGTTCAAGAACCCTTCACATCCTTATGTAACTTGGCTCTATAGGTTGCAGCCTGAACACTGGTGGGATTCAAATATGTGAACAACCTGTTCTCTGTGTGGATGCCGCTTCTGGAAGTCCATTCTGGGCCTGGGCAACAAAAAAATAGCCACCAGTTTTGCCAAAGTAGTGCGAACTGGCTGAATCCCACCACTGTATTTGAATGTGTTGGAGGGCAAAATGGTGGATAAAGGGAGGTTCTTTTTTTTATTTTGGAGACCCAGGTGTTGAACAATACAGTCTTGTAGATTCTTCAGGCTTATACACAGTTCTGTTTTAAGAGCTCTTCTGGATCCTAGATTAGATGCATTTTGATTTTTTTTTCCTGGTAGATTTCCATCACTGTGAGAAAGCTATGAATGCCAAGAGCTCTGATCCCTATGTCTGTCAGTGGTATAAAAAAGTATACTCATCCCTGTGCCCTTTTTTTGGATAAGTAAATTATGTAAGTAAAAAGTGTTTTTGTATATTTTTGCAGCCTGAACATATTTGAATCCCTGGTGGGATTCAAATATGTGAAAAACGAGTTTTTTGTGTGGATGCCGCTTCCAAAAGTCCATTCTGGGCTTGGGCAACAAAGAATTAGCTTCCAGTTCTGCCGAAGTGGTACAAACCAGCTGAATCTCACCACTGATCCTGAAGCACGAAAGAATACTGATAATAAGACTGGATATGTATCTCAATAAAAACAGAACCTTCCAGAAAGCAAAAAACCCTAATATGTGATTCATACAGTCTATGTGAGATGTTGGTGAAGAATTCACTTCAGCTTTAGGATTCAAGGAAAACGGATTTTTTTTCTTTTAAATCAGCGGTTCTCAACCTTTTTGTGATGGCGACCCCCGTCACACGCATGCGCCGCGCATGCGCAGCATCGCCCGTAAAATGGTCGTTCAACCCCAAATGGGGTCGCGACCCATAGGTTGAGAACCGCTGTTTTAAATGGAAATATTTTAAATCTAAAAAAGCCAGGGTAGTTAGACCATATAAAGGCAACCACACAGTCAGTTGGCCCATTTGTTTGGCTGGTTTGGAAAAATGACTGTTTCTGTATTATGAATAGTGGGGGAACTGATACTAACTTAAGTCTAACAATTTTCAGGGTTGCGAGACTGGTTTGAAAAGACTCCACATTTTCCATTCTAGGATCTAGTATTGGAAAAGGAGATCAAGAAAGCTAACTATACACAGCACTGGATAGACCAGTGATTCTCAACCTGTGGATCGGGACTCCATTTGGGGTCAAACGACCATTTCACGGGGGTCGCCAAACAACGCAGTCCACCATTTTTTCCCCCTTTTCCTTAGCTGTGGTACTCCCTTTTATTCTATTGGCTTTTGAAAGCCAATAGAATAGACTCTCTTGAATAGAGTCTAATTCTATTGGCTTTCAAAAGCCAATAGGAATTGTCCAGGCTGTCTCTGCCCTGCTGAGCCCACCAAAAGTCCCATTCTGCAAACGGTGCTGCACCAGTTGAGTAGTCCTCAACTTACGACCGGTTGAGTAGTCCTCAACTTACGACCAGTTGGGGGTCGCGGCATTAAAAAAGTTGAGGACCACTGGGATAGACGCTGTCCACAGCTGTAATTTGTTTGAATTTGACAAGTTTAAAATTGGCCTTAACCTTTAAATTTCATCCTCTCCAGATGCCTGGACTTCAACAACTGGGAGGAGAGTATCCAGCTATGGTACCGGACTGGCTCAGGAATTCTGGGAGTTGAAGTCCACAAGTCATAAGGGGAGCCATAGTTCCCCACCTCCGCTCTAGAAGCAGCTGCACTTTTGGGGTTGCGACCATCAGGAAAATGAGGAGCAGAGCTACAACGTCTTTGCGCCCATTCTTCCGATGCTGCTCTAACCTCCCCATCACCGATTCCAGCATCTTGGTGGCCTGTTCTACAGGTGAAAGTCACTTTGAGGAAGCTGCTGCTTCATCAGCCTCATTGTGGTGAGAAGCTGGGAGCTCGCAGCTGGCCAGGGAGAGGAGCCCGGCTGCTCCAGGCGTTGCTTCCATCCTCAGAGGGGGTTCCCTGGCAGTGCCTACCCTTGGGAAGTGTACAGGAAGGTCCAGTGCTAAGGTTGCCTCCACCCGGACGTGGAGACGCGCCTGTCCAGGTCTTTCGGTCACAGGCTGCATCCTCCTGGCCATTAGCACATCAGTTTTGGGGATGCGTAGAGTTGGGAGGGAAAAAACCTGGAAAATTAGGAAAAAAGAGTTCTGCCCCCCCTTTTTTTTCCAAAAACCATATTTTAATAATGGGGGGAAATGTTCTCCCTCCCCCAATTTTTCCAGTATTTTTCCAGGCCTTCCCATCTCCAGGGGTGAAGAAGGTTGGAGTCCCGTGGATGCGGTGGCAGCAAGAGGAGGAGGCCGGGGTCCTTTGGGAGGTTTGGACCACAAACAACCACAGTTCTGGTTCTGTTGATGGGGAACCTGCCTTGCCTTCCCCGGGCATCCGTCAAGGAAGGGGCTCATGCAGACAGTCCTCCTTTCCTTGGTCGCCTCCCCTTTTTCTTCTTGGCACCCCACCCCCCAACTACTACAAAAAAGGGGGCTCCAGGAGGGAGGGAGGGAGGGAGGGAGGGGGTGGAGGAGGTCGGTTTGGGTGAAATCTCCCTTCTCAATTTGTCCTGGGCAGAAGAAGTTCTCTCCATTCAGACCAAGCCCTTTGTGGCCTCACCCAAAGAATTTTCTCTGTAATACAGGTAGTCCTCGACTTAATGACCACAGCTGAGCCCAAAATTTATGTTGCACAAGTGAGAAATTTGTTAAGTGAATTTTGCCCCATGTTATGACTTTTCTTGCCACATTTGTTAGTGGATCACTGCAGTTGTTAAATTAGTAAAATTAGTTAAGTTGGTAACACTGTTGTTAAGCGAATCTGGCTTCCCCCATTGACTTGGCTTATCAGAAGATCACAAAAGATGATCATGTGACCCCAGGACACTGTAGCCGGAATAAATAGGAAGCAGTTGTCAAGCACTGGTACGTACATTGCATGACTGGAGAAGCTGCAACGGTCATAAGTATGAAAAATGCTGTTGTAACTTTGAACATTCATTAAATGAACTGTTGTAAGTCGAGGGCTTCTGGTAGCAAAAGAAAACTGTTTAAAAAGAATGTGCACCCAAGCAGACTTAATGCAAAAGGTAACCTTGCAGACAAATGACACTATTACACAAGTTTAATAAACCATCATCATCATT